AATATTGTTTTCTAGACTTAACTTAGAAGATTTCAGTGTAATAACGAGTTAATCATTATGTGAAAAATTGGTAATATTGTGGATAGTTACATAAACTTCTCAATAAAGATTAAGCCATAAGGCATGGTTTCAGGTTAAAAATAAAATAAAAGTATTGAGCAATAAGAATCAATAAAAATATAACATTATTTTACAGTATTTTCGTATTCTTATTCCTCAAATCACAATGATATAAATTAATATTCATATTAATCAATTGCAAAACAATAGCTTTTCGAGTAAACATATAATATTACTTTCTTTAGGTCTATTATGATTTTATAAATATAATTATTTTCAGACTGAATTTTTATTTATTTATATTTTTAACTCGTAATTATACTGTGCTGGCATGAATTGATAATTTGGATCATCGTCTCTCCGATTTTTCGTTCACAAATCGGCAATTTTCACTATCGCTTTGCCATAATTTTCTCCTTTCATCATTCCCACGAACGCTTGCGGAGCATTCTCAACACCGATGGTAACGTGTTCCCGACACTTGATCTGTCCTTCCTTTAACCATTTGCCGACCGTGTCGAGGAACTCTTTGTACAACTCCATGTAGTAATCCACAACGATGAATCCTTGAATTTTCACGCGTTTCCTGATAACTTGGTTCAGATTCTTGATTCCATATGGTTCTGCAGCGTCATACTGCGAGATCATGCCGCAAACAGGGACACGGGCGTGGTCGTTTAAATGAGTAAGTACGATGTCGAGGGTTTCACCGCTATTGATTTCCAGATGCATAAAAAATATTGAGGAAATGATTCTAGTGCATGGAAGTAATTCGACAAACTGAGTAACATACATACGTACCCGACATTATCAAAATAGATATCGATCCCATTTGGACAAGTTTCCTTTAATTTCTATGATAAATCGAGTTAAAAGCTATTCCGGTTTTTTCATTAAAAGAAAACTTGACGTCGATTTTATTACCTGGTCAAGATCTACCTTCTTATAATTGAAGGCCGCATCAAACTTTAATTCCTTGATCAGGTACTCTACTTTTGCATCATCACCCGCCGATCCAACTACTCGGAGCCCATTAATTTTGGCGATTTGCCCTAAGATATGGCCCACTGCACCAGCTGCGGCCTTTGAATAGAAGTTCAGATTAATCGCTGCGAACATACGGTTTTCACCACTCAGTAACAATTACCGTGATAAAAATGGTTTCTCCAGCCTTTGGTTCTCCAATCTTCTTCAGACCAGAATACGCGGTCAAGCCAGTCATCCCGAGTACCCCGAGATGATAACTCAACGGGAATTCGGGTCCCTCGTTTAGTTCATTACGTTGAGCTGCACTCAATATCACATTCACAAAACCAGTCGCCTTGGCGGTAATGTGCGTGTATTCTTCCCAGCCTGCAGAGGAATTTTCCACGTTATTCTGCTTGTTCGATTGCATCCCTTTTGCTTCAGTCAATATTTACTGTATTTATCGAACAACACCTACCGATCATCGAGAATACCACATCACCCACAACATACTTTTCGTTATTACTCTTCACCACTTCGGCGATACCAGGACCGCGCAACACTTCTCCCAACTTAAATCCTTCAATGTGTGATAATTTGATATCTGGATGCATAAGACTGCGCGTACCCGGATCCACGCTCAAATATAAGTTTCGTAATAAGATGTCGTTGATATTTAATTCATAATTGTCAATGTCGATTTCGCGATCCTTGACTTGGAATGTTGATGAAGGCGGAGATCCGGATCCCGGAAATTCAGCAAGGATTACGCCTTTGTTGCTTCGAGACGCCATCTTTAATTTGAGATTTGAGGAGGAGTCGAAAAGAATGCTTCAATTTATACAATCATTTCTATGACCCGATATTAACCCGATATTAAGCGTGACCAATTTACGCAGCACCAAGAATGGACAATCTATTATCCGAGTGAATACGCAATTGCCTGGATGTGGAGTACAAGCTTGATCTCAAACACGGAGCAGAAAGAACCGAGAACTGAGTCAAGCCGGGAGAATTGATCAAAACCAATTTCATCTCTTTGAAATTACCCAAGGCCCGATTCTTTATGCGATTTTTGACGAGAATGAAGAACTTGGACATTTCCGGTACCGGTAAATCTTTGAGTCTATTGCCTTGAGAATATCTTGAATGTTTAATAGTGTGCTTGTTAATGACAACAATGGCAAATTACACGGGAAGCACAAAGATGAAGATCAGCTCTGATCACTCCTTGACAGAGGTCTCGAACTCAAAGTAAACATAACATTAGTAATCATACTCTGGTGTATCTTCGCGTAGCATTTTACGGTGGTCAGTCGCTGCGGATGTGACACACAACTTGCTGCGTAAAATTCGCACAAGTTTTTCCTTGTTTCCATTGCTTCCCTGTTTCACAAATCCGTGAGAAAGTGAAACAAACCAGTATTGGTACTATGATACTATTTATTGCGCACTTTGGCAAAGCATCACCGATCCTCTATTCCTTTGATCGTTTACCGTAATTTATGGACAAATTAAGTAGTGCATTGAGTGATGCGATATTTTCAGCCGATTTTTTATTAAAAAATTTCTACGGATGTATTTAGAGCATTTACCTTTGTCTTTATAATACTTTTGGTGTTTTCAAAAAGAAGGATTTCTTATTTCCTAATATAATTTATAATGATGATTTAAAAGTATAGCGATTTACAGTATATGATCTACAGTACTTACCGTCTTATCATAAAACATTTTATGTTACAATTGACGATGCTATATGTGTCGTAAGGAAATAAAGCGAGTTTTTTAACAGATTCAATTACATTTGTCGTCAATATTTAAATTTGAAACGTGAGATAGTATTGATATTGTATAAACAAGGGAAAATCTTACAAAGGAAAAAAGTCCACACGATAAAAATGCAAGGAAATAAGGAGCATTCCTTGTCAAAATTGGGCGATCCACAAAAAATCGCGCACGTCAAAACATCGATAAAGCCAATCGGCGAATTGTTGCTTCCTTCACTGTTATTCAATTTCGTAGAACTTGGGAGGTCTTTAATGAGAAGACAGATATATTGCGCATAATAACCAAGATAAGAAATTGTTAGGGTATGCCTTGGACGGACGAATATTCTATCAACGCTGATTCACATGGAAAAATTCATGTTTGGTGTCACAGAAGCGAACTGAACATCCACAAACATATCCATCGTGGTTTGGGAATATGTCTATATGCGATATTTAAAAAATGCGAAAATCTTATTTTAGAATGATTTTCTTTGTTATTGATGAGAAGGACAACGCTCCAATCAGCAAAAGTAAACCCATAAATGTTGCTTAATGAGGATTTTAGAATTAAAATGATCACCTCGGTCAACCAACCGGGGGACCATACTTAGTCCTGCTGAAGAAAAGTTAAAAGTTGGATTCATAAAAGTCAAGAATCACATACATAGATTTTTTGAATGAGGCAGCTTTCGCTGTCGTGAATGCAATGCATTTTATTATTTCTCGTACAAAAGGCATTTATCAAGCATAACGGAAATGCTACTACCTCTAATTGCGGCGGATTTACCCTCCATAATAAATTAAATTACCGTAAATACAAGATAAATAAAAATCCTAATTTGTGTCTCACTTTAGGGTACTCTTGTGTGCCCATGCGCTTTGACTAAAACCGACACGTGCAACACACGCATGGTTACGCAGCCGCGAATACCCCTGGTGTTAATATGAAACTTGTAACAGTCCTCACACATTAGGTGTTTATAAATTCGAAAACCCGATACAAATATATGCAAGGTAGAGCACTTGGTGTCATGCCTTGACGATAATTCCTTCCTTTAATTTTCAGCACAACCTTATCTTCCTTGAATTATCGTAAACGATGATGTTCAAACATAATGAATCCAAAAGAGGAGAACCGAGGATTATAAATACATTTCGATTTTCCATAATCATATGATTACTCGAATAATCGCAACTTTTAAAAACTCAATTTTTCGCGTGACTTTTGATACGCGCGATGCCCGATTTTACAATTCAGGTTTAATTAGTCCATGAAACAACCCGTAATTAAGGTAAATAATTTTAATTTAAATTAACCGACATTGCATAACCTTTTTCAACTTTTTTTTTTTTTTTCACCGTCATTCCTTGAATATTTAACGGTCGACAAACTCGAACCACTTCTTCTTCTTCTTCTTTTATCGAAGGAGAAAAAATTTACCTCTTGTTAGCGCAGATAGATTTGAGCTAATCACGGTTCTTTTTTAGTTTTATGTATTCCTAACTTTATCACTAAGGAAGACGGTGTTAGTTCAAAATCTACTGCACTAGCCTTCACCACGCAATTTGAAAAAAAAAAACATCGTATATATCCACTTTTAATAAAAAGAAAGCTTGCACTCAACTAAGCTTTTTTCGTACACTCGCGTATCAAAGGAACGATCCAGCTGTCGTCTTGTGGATTTTGCTTGACGCTTAAATCCAAAGACGTAAAACAATCATCAAATTGCGAAAATCATCCGTTAACGAAATATTATGATTTCTACCTGCCGTCATTATTTCACTCCTTGCTAAACATTGGAAATCCATCAGTCACTGAAAAACATGAAACAATATCGACAATTATCGTCAACTCAACCTTACCGATTAACGAGCCTGGTGATCTCGTTGGTTTACATCCTAAATAATAGAGTGATGGCAAGCAACATGGGTGGTGCGACCGTAAAAACTCAATACTATAACAATGCAATCGCGATCGGGGCGGTATCCGCGTCAATTGCGTTGGGGCTTCTATTCATAACGGGCATTTTTATTAGGCGACGACGAAGGAACGCAAAGGTCGAAGTAAGTAGTAATGCTCCAAGTTTCACAATGTTTATCAAATCTCCTAAGACGTTGCAACAATGATTCTTCTCATTTCCAGCCGGAATCAAGGAGTTGGAAAGCCCTCGAGGATCCTTCCACTGATTTCAACCCCTCGCTAAAAAGCAACGCCACTTCGTATATATCCAACAGCTTTTTAAGTACGAAATTTTCCCCCATTACCATAATCTCGTGTCCGGATAAATCTTATTCAATGAAAGTGAAAGAACCAAATTCTTATCCGGATGAGAATATTCGCTTAACCAACTCGTACTCAACATTATACCCCCCCGCGAACCCAACCCAATTCAAAAATATCTGATGTGCCGCCATCACTCGGTGACATTCCAGAATTTCGAACAAA